GGTGAGAGTGGATTCATTTGGAAAGTACAGAACTCAAACGAGTTTTATCAACTCATTGTTCATACGTTTTGTGTTAAACGCAATTAGGAAATTTAAAATAGTCATGGAAAGATGAATGTTTCATAAAAACTGAAAGATAACATTGCCTTTAACATTACCTTTAACAATGCCCCCCCCCCCCTGCCCCCTCAGCAATTTGTCAAGTTGCCAAAACATTTGCCAGTACGAATTTATACTCAATGATGGAGAAAGGCTTGCCTCACAATACAACAAAATAACCCTGACTAGCCCTTTCAGACAGACTGGTGATCCAGTGCAGGGCTAAAAAACTTGAATTCCAGCTAGCCCTTAGGACAAGTAGTTCTCAAATTTTGCTAGCCCTGGGTAAGTCTTTGTTTGCTCTTTAAATGCTTTAGATGGCAGATGACATGCCTGATCCCTGCCCATTGGGCACATGAGAATGAAAATCTACTTGTCCTGGATGACCAGACAGCACTTTTTTCAAGCCCTGCCAGTGTCTGAGTAGGCGAAAGTGTTTCCCGCCAGGAAAGCACTGGGAACCCTGGTAAACTGTAAGCAGGAGTGAACCATGCCAAGTTAAAAAGACTCACCTGTAGATGAGGCCAGGATGCTTCTAGCGTTGGATCATCTTCTTCTGGATCAAAGTCTGGGTTGTCCGACGGAGGTAAAGTCCTAAAAATGTTTGCATCGACCTATAACACAACAAAGAATGTGCATTAATAAAAGTACATCACTGTTTTTCAAGAGCAAAACCACACCGACCATGACTAGTTCTTATGGATGTCCTACACCAAATGTTCCATACTGACGACAATGCTCTACTATGATCTATTCAATAACTTAGAGGAGTTATTATTTTGTGCTAAATAAGGGATACTTTCCACTGGCTGAGAAAAATAAAAGAACTGGAAAATATTTTTCTCACACACCACTTGGATCTGGGGCTAATACAGGTCATGTGATTTGCAAGGCACGTAATGGTTTTTGTTGCTGTCTGCCATAGTCTGACCTCCGCACCCACCCACCCTCGCCTTTTTCAGCACTTCTTTTGAGATTATGACTATCATTGTGCATTGGTTCTGTGTTTTTTTGTTCAAGACAGTGTATGTTTTATGGAGTTGTTTTGAGAATAAAGGTCAGGCTTACTATGGCCAGCTAGAGATGGCTCCCAGTGGTGTGTAAAAAGAAACAATTACAGACCCTGCATGGATTTTTGTGGCTAGAGCTGAGTTATCACTATGAAATTCTTCACATTGAGTTTCCAATGTCTCATAGACCCTTTGCAAAAATACTGCCTGAATTTGAATAACAATACTTTATACATCCTAAGCCTTGTCCTTATGTTTCCAGACAAAGGACTTTTCACATGAATGTGAGACTTAAGATGCATAAGTATTGTTATCCAAATATTGGTGCATTTATGCAAAGGGTCTACGAGTGGGAAGGACTGGGAAACATGAGATGTACATTTACTCAGGCCACCATATGGATCAACATTGGGAGCTGCAAGGTAAACTAACCACTGTTAAAGAGTTAAACAACTGATACATTGAACAGTAGGGGTGGATGTTGCTAATGCACAAACAGTCAGCTGTCTAAATCTGTAAGAACGATCAAGTTGCCTTGTTCTATCAAAAAACTATGAGCCCAGGCTTGGAAGCATATACTTCAAGTAAGAACTGTAAGTACAGGGTTTGCTATGTTTTGAAGTCAGTATATCCATCTTTTAAGAGAAACAATAAGATACTTAAAACCTTTGATAATGAGCACTTGAAAGAAAAATCACTATAATCTCATACAAAATTATCATATAGGATTACATCTATTTTAAAACTTTTTACCACTTTGAGTCAGAGAATTAGAAAACAGCAAATTTCAAGCAATTTCACCAGCAAGTTCACTTTTCAAAGACTTCCACTATGTCTACAAACATTGTATTTACCACGAGATCCTAACAATTTTTTTCATTTCTACAGAAACTATTAATGGATCAAGACCCATCTCAACACTGATGCTGGGAAAAATACTGATTATGCCAATTCAATGTTGTTTTCACCAAACACAACACCTTGTACGTACAGTACAGGACTACAGTACAGCTTTAATTATTAGATTTTTAAGTAATAATTATTCTAGTTTGCATTTACATCTCTGTAATAGCCTAAAATAAATGGTCTCTTGTCCCTCCACATATATGGGAACTTTACATCTATGCCAACTCTCCAGGATTATCTAAAGTCTCCTGGATACAAACTGAATCTAAAGAGTTCTCATATAGGTCATCAAGTCTCCTAGATACCAAAGAAGCACTTACAGTACATTTGTTGCACTTATTTTTGCCAATTTTTGGTATTTCGGGGAAAAATTTTATACTTTCTGAACCGGCTCAAAACAGTCACAGACTTTAGACAATGTTCACTGTTTAAACATAAACATATCTGTCCTACATTTTTGTTACTGCTGGTGAAGCATTTTTTTAATTTTGTAATCTAATGTGAATTTGAGTTAAATCTGATCAGAAATTTAAGGCAATTGAGAACAGAGTTTCTTTTAAGCTAAAGACATCTAAAGGATGATCTAGTTTATGAGGTTACCTCTATAATGACACCTTGTTTTGTACAATACAAATGTTCAAACAATTTGAACACAATTTGCACAAACATCAGCCTTGGACTTAAGGTTACAGTATACCTTCAGGGGTGTCTCGCGCGCACGCGATGTAGCGCGTGCAGTTTAAGCTGTAGATACCTAAACCCCTATATCAAATTAAAGCTTATGGAGCTGGCTATCAAACTATACCAAGAATTTTGAAA